GGCCTGCGCACTCTCCCAAGGGCCTTCTCGCTGCTACACAGCACAGGGCAGGGCGCAGGGCCGGCTGAGCCTAGTGGCGTGGGGGCCGGGCTCCGGGCTCTTCAACATGTAGTCTCTGGAGCCTATCCCTCTCCTCCAGCCATTGTGTGGCTTCAGGCGATCTAGCCCTAAGCCACAGTTTTCCCTCTATAAACGGGGTAATAATACTTCCTCTTAGGGCTGATGTACAGATAGCAGTGAAGTGACATATTTCTTAGATATTGCATAAAATATTCTTAATGCATCATCTATATGTACTTTCTGTGCTGTGGGACACATTACCCAAAAATTAGTAGCTTAAAAGAACACACATGTATTTTTTTAAAGGTTTATTTTTGAGAGAGAGAGACACACACGAGTGTGAGCAGGGGAAGGGCAGAGAGAGAAGGAGACACAAACTCTGAGGCAGGCTCCAGGCTCTGAGCCGTCAGCATAGAACAACACGCGGGGCCTGAAGTCACAAACTGTGAGGTCGTGACCTGAGCCGAAATCAGAGTCAGATGCTCAATGGACGGAGCCCCCCAGGAGCCCCAGGGCAGATTTTCCTTTATAGCCAGCAATGGGGAGAGACTGTAGAGCGAGTCTGAGAGCAAGACGGAGTCTTACACAGTGTAATATAATCACAGGGGTGACATCCCGTCACCTCTGCCACATTTTCTTGGTTAGAAACAAGTTCCCACCCACACAGTTCCCATCCACACTCAAAGGGGAAGGGATCCCAGAAAAGCACGAACACCAGGGAACTGGGATCACAGGCCCCCCTGAAAAAGTCCATCCGCGGCACCCAAAACTCATTGGCCATTATTACAGTAGACTGGGCACCTACTGCGTACCAGCGTGTGGAAGGTTTCATACATATGATTGCATCTATTCTAATTGTTTTATGGGTAAACTGAAACTCCAGCCGGGAAACTTACCTGAACTCACTCAGCTAGCCGGTGACACAGCAGATCTAAATCCAGTCCTTTCTGCTGCCCCTGTCCTGGGTCTTCCCTTGACATCACACTCACAGTCAGCGCCACCTTGAAGCCCTCCTCAAGGATCTCTCACACTTTAAAGCGCTTTGCTTTGGAGGTCAGCTCTCTCCCTGGGTTCAAGTCCTTCAGCTCTCGTTCTGCTAGGTTCTGCCCCTTTGGCTTCTGAGCTTATCTTGGTCTGTCCTTCTTTAGCTTTGTCCCCAGACACCTCTGGGAATGATTCCTGCTTCTTGCCCCAGATTTATATCCACCTCGATCTTTCTGTCCAGTGATTCATCTGCCACATCCTTCCCACTCACACGAATGCTACAAATGACTACTGAGACTCCCTGCTATGAGGAGAGCGCTGTGCTGGGCCCTGTACTCGCTCTGCCCCGTGGGTCTTATCGTCTAATTAGGAAGCAGCATGTTCATTACTAACTCTGCCCTGGTGGTTCAAAGCTTTTTGAAGATAAGGACAGAAAAAAAGAAAACACTACCATGCTTAAAGAAGATAAAAGTCATTTTTTTCCCCCTCAAGGAAATGATAAAGAAGTCAGGTGTAGGCCACACAAGGGGTTCAGCACTTTGACAGAGTCATCAGGGATGCAGGCCCCTCTTATCCAGCAGCTCTGCCTCATGGCCCAATATGGCTGCTGAGCTCCAGCTATCATGTCCTCATTCTAGTCAGCAGGAAGGAGGAAGAAGCAAAGATTAGTCCTCCCTAACCACCCAGACAGAACTGGTGAGCTCCCTAGTCACATGCTCCCTTGGCACCTTGGCTTCCTATTCAAAACGGAGAGTGATTCATTCTTTACGTCATTGTTTGTTTGATGCTCACCCAGCACCCTCCCTTGCCTCTCACCAGACTAGAAGCTCCATGAAGCCTGGCATTGTATCTGTCTTCTTTGCTGTTCTAGAGCCACTGTCTAGCACAGTGCCTGGGCCCAATAGTAGGTGCTCAATGAGTAGTTATTGATGGGAGGAACACTTTGTACACGTTCCTGATGTTACAATGAGCTGGCATTAGCCTGGCCCAAATCCAGGGTCTTCTGAATTGAGTGGATGATAATGAGTGCTTCTACAGGCCAGGCTCTGTGCTAAGGGCTTCATACGTTTGATCTCGTTTAATCCCCCTCAGAATCCTGAGAGGTGGATACTGCTGTCATCTCTAATTAGCAAATGGGAAGACAGCACAAGATCATGGGTCTGCTATGTGGGAAAGCTCTGATTAGAACTTGGCCATCCTGACTTAAAGCGTCTATTCATTTACTTCCTGCCTTTCTGGGCCAGCAGGTGCCCACGATCTGCTTCAGACCCCCTCTCCTGCAGCCCTGGCCAGCGCTCTTCATTGTGAGCAGATTTAGCAGTTGTAAATGCAGTCACAGGTAGTCAGGAAGCATTATCCATTTAGAGGGTGTCCCAACATGGCATCTGCCCTGTAGGAAATAGAGGAATCCTCAGGGTGCAGAGGTAGAGGGCACCGGAGTCAAATGGAACTCTGGCTCCTCACTTCTCCTTCCCTCGCACATTTCTAGGAGCCGTTGTAGCCCCAGGCGCTCTTTCAGACGTGGAAGAGGGGTAGGCGGGTCCCTGGTGGCCTGGGGTACGTCCTTCAGTGAGTGCCACCTGTGCTGGTGCTTCAGCTTCTGCCTCCCTCTTGGTGGGGCCCACCCAGTAAGGAGCAGGTGGCCAGAGAGCTGTGGCACCCTCTGGGCCAGGCTGCCCTTGAACCATGTGGGCGTTACAGAGCCTCCAGCCCAAGGAGCAGTACTGAGAGACACTGGGGGAAAGTTCTAGTCTCTCCCCTCAGACCCAACAAAATACTGCAGGGAGGAACTAAATTCTATTTTTTTTTAGCATATTTATTTTGAGAGAGAGAGTGGGGGAGGGGCCGAGAGAGAGTGAGGGAGAGAGAGAGAGAGAGGATCCCAAACAGGGCCTGAACCCATGAATCGTGAGACCACGACCTGAGCTGAAGTGAGATGCTTAACTAACTGAGCCACGCAGACGCCCAGGGAGGAACTAAATTCTAACTTGAGCCAGGGAATCAGAATTTCCAAGTCGTAAAGAGAACTGACTGGCCAAGTTCACGTGGTGAACGAGTTCTGGGGCTCACGTGACTGAAGAGTGCGTCTGGCTCACAGGCCATCTGAGTGGGTTTTGGAGGAGGGTCCCCGTTTGACACTGGAAGGGGTCCTGGAGACTGAGCTTGAGGACACACTCAGACCGGCCAATCCGGGTCACTGCCGCCGTGCTTCCACTGGTCACCAGCAGGTGGCGCTATGCACCCAGTGGCCGCGAACTCCCAGAAGAGGGGAACCGACTGTAATCTGGGAGTAGTTCGGGCAAGAGGCCGGGTTTGGGGCCCAACTTTCAATCATCTTCGCTCTGGAGCCCTTGTGCTTCAGGCACCGTGGGTCATGAGGAGGCCTGGTAGCCCCAAATTGAGTTCCTCTGGTTCCAGAACCTTTGGGGGGCTGTTCTGTGGTCAATGAACAGGCCCCCAGGATGTGCTGCACTTACGAGACTGGAATCATGGCGGGATGAAAGCGGTGAAAACAGGTGGGTGCCATGGCTCTAACTGGCATGAGACTCAGCCTCGGGCCCCAGCTCAGGCCTCTTCACCCCGCTCGCTGGCACATGCCCACACCGAGCCCTCGGGGCCTCCTTCTCCTCCGGCCAAAGTCCAGAGAACTCAGGATCCCTCCGAGAGGCTGCTGGATTCCCGGTGCTGTCCTGTCCTTCCTCCCGTCTCCCTCTCTCTCTCCTCCCCACTCCGTCTCTTGGGCCTCATCTCCTTCTGTGCTCACTCTCTCGCTCCTCCCAGTTCCCCAGAGGGACCTGACCCAGCAGGTCTAGCCCCCCCTGCCTCCAGTGCTCATCTGCAAAGGCAAACAGGGACCAATACTGGTGGGTTTCTAGGATGTGGTTTCCACGGCAACGGTGCATCTCCAGCCTCCGCAGTTCTCAGCTCCGGCAGGTTGCCGTGGAGACTCGCACCTCATCAAAGAGTGGTTTGTGGGACTGGTTTTCTTCCTTAACTTCATCTCCTTCCTTCTTTCCAGAAATTCTGCTTTTCCTCACTCTCAGCAGACCTGGAAGCCCTCTCTGAAGGGCTTCCCCACCCAAGGCCACTAAGACATAGAAAGCCCTTTGTTCACACAAGGTTGCCTGGCAACCTGTCCCCACTCTCTGGGCACAAGTGAGGTGCCCCTAAAGGCCAGCCGAGAGGTCTCACAGAGGAACAGGCTGAAGCTGAGCTGGGCCCCCACCCCTTCTGCCCCCGATGCCCTCCAGGCCCCATGTGGCTGGGGGAGTCAGCCCGAGAGTGTCTGCCAGGCAGCCGTCTTCCCTGAGAATCCTCTACCCCCAGGCTTTGGAGAGGAAGAGAGAGAGAGCGAGAGTGGGGTGGCAGGGAAATGAGGTGTGTGAGCAGGAGTAAGAGGTGGGTTAGGAGGGGGAGGACTTTTGAAAAGGGGGGGAGGGGGGCAAGGAGGCTGGGGTCTCACAGGGAGAGGGAGTGAGGGAGGGGGGCCACCGTGCCACCGAACGCAGACCTTGTATTCGCAGCGGGAGCACCTCCTTATAAATCACTCGGCAGCCCCCGCCCAAACTGGCCTCTTCCTCTGCCAAGGAGAGAATGTGTTTGTCGACATAAAAACATATTAGGCACATTGTGCCCCTCTCTCCCCCAAGTTGAAAGCCATTACGATAATTAATTAAGGCAGGAGATTAATTAAAGAGTCGTTCCCCCGCCCCCCCCTTCTCCCCAAATAGATCAGGGGGGTGGAGGGGGACATGTGCTACCCTGCAGACAGAAGAAGGGGCTGGGGAGGGGCACAGACAGGCATTTGCAGACACAGCTGGAGACAAAGGACATTACTGGAGGGGGTAGGGGGCGGGGGTTGGGAGAGGCCCGCAGGGAGGCCCCAGTGGGGAGCAGAGTTGCCGGCTTCCAGGAACCTGTGTTCAGCTTTCCCTCCTGTTTGACACAGCAGGAGGGGCTCTGTCACCATGGGAACATGCCTGGGGTGTGGGGGAAGGAGTATCTACCCTTCCTCTGGACCGGACCGGACCATCTGGATCCTCCTCTGAGTGTGTGGTCGGGGGCCAGAGCTCCCTCAGCCCAGGTGAGAGGGGTCAGGGTGTCTTTCTGCCTCGTGCCCCCTCGAGCCCCAACCTAAAACCACCTCCCTGCGCGCCTGGTGTACCGGTGACCCAGCCCAAAGTGTGTTCATCAGATGTGCCACGGTGCGGGTGTGGCACGTCTGTTTTAGCTTAGCTGAGAATTGTTACAGTCTTTTAGGTAACATGTTTCATTTTGCCACATTTTGAGGTCTTAATGATTCCTTCCTTCCTTCCCTCCTTCCTGTCATTCTCTCTTATTCCGTTGGACAACTGATTTCCCAGCCTAATTTTGTACTTCTAGGAAATATTCGTATAATGCAACATGTTTCATATGCAACGTAATGGATGTAACTCATTCCATTCTGTGCTTTTGTTTTAGATTTTATTTTTATGTAATTTTTACACCCAACTTGGGGCTTGAACCCACCACCCTGAGATCAAGTCGCACGCTTTTCTGATGGAGCTGGCCAGGTGCCCCTCCACTCTGTGTTTTTGTCTTGCTTGCTTTGGAGCCTTCCAGATGCTCTGATTTGTTCAAAAACACTGCTCTTGCGTTTTCATAATTTGAATGAAATTTTTAATAAACATTATAAAAGATGTGACTCTCTATAGTGATTCCACATCATCCATGCCCCATGTCCCGAATCTTTTCTTTTTCTTTTTCTTTTTTTCTTTTTTTAATTTAAAAAAATTTTTTACAAATAGTTTATTGTCAAGTTGGTTTCCATATAACACCCATTGCTCATCCCCACAAGTGCCCTCCTCCGTGCACATCTCCCCCCCCCCCCCACCCATCAGTCCTCAGTTTGTTCTCAGTATTCAAGAGTCTTTCATGGTTTGCCTCCCTCCCTCTCCCCAACTATTTTCCCCCTTCTTCTCCCCCTTGGTCCTCCATTAAGTTCCTCCTAATCCATTTCTGATACCTTCTACATGAGCAGCTCATGGTTTACTCACCTTGTTATTATGGATCGGGGCAGAGCGGGGACTAGACTTTGGGGGCACATCGTAGACAAGACAAATGTGCTCCCTACCTTCTGGGGAATGACAGTCTGTTGGAGAGACAGACCCATCAATACCCACACACAAAATTAGAGCTACAGACTGTGGAGAACGCTGAGCAGAGAGAAGGGCAAGGCCCTGGTTCGGGTTCGAAGTCAGAGGACATGACTTTCACACTGATGAAGTCAACCAGACCAAGTGAAGGGTGAGGGCTCCCAGCAGAGGTGGGACCACTGAATCTGATGAGGCTTCAACCCCAGGTCCCCCCCATGCTCTGGAGCCTTCCAAGGACCGGAAGGGGCCGTGGCAGTGTCCCCATGGTCATAGGCCTGTCCTGTGGTATATATAAAATGCTTGCGCTGTAATCCGTTAAGACCTCTAATGTCTGCCTCCACTGTACCTTGGAGTGGCCAGGCTAAGGGGATGCCTAGCAGGAGGGAGCCCGTTTGGGTCGAAGGAGATGTACTTAGGTGGCTACCGCATTCCACGTGTGGCCAGAACTCAGCTGGCTGGCCCGGATGGGAGCAGCTCCTGGGTGCCTTCGCACCCAGCCCTGTGCAAAGAGGTGCAGTACCTGGGTCAACATGAAAGGCCCCATGACAGGTAGGAGTTGGGGGGGTGGGGATGAGGTTTGAATTAGCAAAGCCTGGTCTGGAATATCGTTTTGGATTTTGTGACATTTGTGGGATTTGCCAGCTTTTAAAATGTGTGGTTTGTTTTGATCTTTCTAAGTAAGTTTTCACTTAAAAAAATTTTTTTTTAATGTTTTATTTCTTTTTGAGAGAGAAAGAAAGCACAAGCAGGAGAGGGACAGAAAGAGAGGGAGACACAGAATCTGAAGCAGGCTCCAGGCTCTGAGCTGTCAGCACAGAGCCTGACGCGGGGCTCGAACCCACGAACTGAGAGATCATGACCTGAGCCGGTCAGATGCTTAACCGAGTGAGCCACCCAGGCTCCCCGAGTTTTCATTTTTGTACCTAATTCTGGTTTTGGATTTCTGCATTTTTGTTTTGGTTTGTTTTGTTTTAAGGACCCCGTGGCCTGTGCGGGTAGATCTGGGATCTGCCCCTGTCTGAGGAGGGTGTCTGTATCATCTTCCATGGCCAGAGCTGAACGGGTGATCGAGGGGGTGTCCTTGGGGTCAGAACAGGAGGCCCCGGAGCCTTTGCAGGCTCCTCCCTGAGAGTTTTCTCCACCTGCAGGCAGGTGGGGCAGAGAGATCAACAGAGCAGTCCCCTGGCTCAGGACGAGGGCTGCTGCTCTGAGCCACTGGGCACATCTTGTGTGGTGGGTCCAGTGCCGAAGGGCTGGCAGGAAATAGACTCTTCAGGACCCTCTCTCCCACTCCCCCTCCCTACCGCCAGGTCGCGATGCCTGAGCTGACCTCACGTAGGAATCACCAGTTCTCCTTGAAGACAATGGTTACCCATAAAAATCTGTATGTGATATATTACGTGGACAGGGTAGCATAAAAATACATACTTTTTATACATAATCCGTAAAATGGTCTGAGAAGGAATGTGTATAAACTAGGGAAGATAGAAGGGAACCCACAGAGGTATAGAAAGAGTGTATGTGTGTTTTATGATTGTGTTTTATGAGAGTGTTTATTTGTATGTGTGTTGGTGGGGGCAGCCTGGGGGGATAAAGGCAAAGTAATCTGTAGAATTTTCCAAAGAAGCCCTGGGGTGCAGGTTTGGGGAGGAGGGCATGGCAGGAGGGAGGGGCCTGCTGGGGGAGGGGATGAGCTGGGAGCCTGACCCCACGGGGATCTCCAGCTAGTCCCCCTCAGGCCAGAGCCCCAGCCAACCCTGACCCCACAGGGCAAAGCCCAGATCTGCAACTGGGTTTGAGAAGTGGGGGTTGACTGTAGTGAGTAATTCTGTGTTACAGATTTGACAACTGCTAAGAGAGCATGTCTGCAAAGTTCTCATCACAAGAAAGACAACTTTTATAACAAGAAAGAGGGGTGTTAACTGGACTTCTTGTAGCGATCATTTTGTAATATAACACGAATATGGAATCATTATGTTGTACGCCTGAAACCAACATTGTGTTGTATGTCACTTCTATCCAAGACCCTCCCCCCCATGACAAACAGATGAGTGGGGTTTTGTACACAGCCCCCTTCTCTGGGACACGTGGGATCTGGCCTGAGTCCTTCACCACCATCTGCTGCTGCCCAGCGCCAAGCTCTCCCAGGATGTGGCCTCCGGGGACAGGTAGGGTCTGTGCGTGGGGAGAGGATCTGTGCATCTGCAGTTCTAGAGGCTCTACCGGATGCACCCTTCACCCCTGCAACAACCCCTGTGAAGCCACAGTGGGGGTCCTGGGGCCTCTGGGCTGGGGGGGGGTGGTCCCTATGGATGCTCATCGAGGGGGATCGCAAACACTACCGATTCGCAGTGGATGCCTGTGTTTCCACTCCTCATTCAGAGGCCCCGTTTGAGGCTGCTGGGGCTTAGCTAGGTCTTTGCGGGGTGAGGGTGCCCCAAGCCTTATCCCTCTGCCTCTACTTCATCTCAGAGCCAGGTCTAGAATGCAGATCTCCCTCCTGCTTTCTGAGGCTTTGTCCTGAACCCCAGAATGCTGAAAGCTTCCCTCTCCTTCCAGCTAGCTCCAGCCCCTCATGCCCTTGGAAAGGCCTAGAAGGTATGGAAGAGTGAGGCCACCTGCCAGGCCTCCCAAAGTTTTCTCCTTGAACTCCAGCTGTGGGGCTCCTGCGGACTCAGCACTTGCCTTTCTCCCTTGAGGCTCACACGGCTGCGTTCCTCCCTGTCCAACTGTTCCAAGCAGCAACACGAAGTTTGGTGACCATCAGGCAGAGCCTTCTGCTTCCTTGAGGAAGAGCAGCAGTGTTTCTTGGGGCTCCACAAGGCTCAGGTCCTGGCTGTTTCTTGCGCTCTGACCTAGTTTCCACCAACCAGCTCTGGAGGGACAGGTTCACACAGCAGGTTGACTCCAGTGAGGTCTGGGATGTGCCCGTCACATGACTCAGTGTCCTTGCATGCATCTGGGGGCCTTGCTTGATGGGCTGGCAGAGGCTAGGAGCTGGACACTGGTCCTCCCCACCGCGCTGGGCCTGGGGAACAGGCCTGGTGAGGCTGGCGGGGTAGAGGGAAGCCTCAGGCCTCCTGTCACAATGGGAACCCCAGGATTAGAAATAGAGCGTCAATAAGGAGATGGGTCCAAGCAGCCTGCCTCCCAGCTGGCGGTTTAGAATCCTTCTGGGAACAGCGTGTGATGATCTCACGCTCGGGGGGGGGGGGTGTTCCTCCAAAGGGAGAACTCTTTGATCCATGGTGGCTGGTTTTTCTGAGGCCATTTTTAGCCCCTGGCCTAGGCTTGTGATGCACAGAACTCTGAGCTGTCGGGTTTCCTGTGAGTAGATGTCGTGACTGGGCCAGGGAGTGGTCACGTCCCTGTCCATCGTCCCACCCAGAGGGGGAAACAGGCACCTTGAAGACCTGCGAGCCACTCCCTCCCGTCTGTGCCTGTGCAGGAAGCGGGGGCTGTGTGGCATACACAAACTGGCTTCCTGGACGTATGGGCACTATTCGTCCAGATGGGAGAGATAAAATTAAGAAACCATGCTAAGGAAAAGACGACACATGCTTATTTTAAAACAAACAGGAAGTTATATTATGGCCTCCTTGGGGCAGAGAGATGTCTATTTCATGGGAGCTTTGTTCATTGAAAACGTGAACGGAACCAGCCCCAAGTGAGGTCCTGAGGCTCAGAGCACACGGAAGGAGATAAGATGTGGCCTGGGCTTTCAACAGCTTCACAGTCTAACATGGCAGATAAATAGGTAAACACCTACATTAATATTCAGGGAGACGCATATACAGATAAAGTAGGAACAGTGTTCTTGGGAGCTCAGAATTGGGGTGACCAGAGAGTAAGGGAAGGTGTGGGAGGACTCTGGGGCTGCCTCTGCTTGCTCTCCTGCCCTCCTGGCAAAAGCCCGGCTTCACTTGGGCGTCCATGGCTCCTGCACGGAGAACTTTCAGCTGTGGACACAGGGACTCTAGCTTCAGGCCGAAAGGGATGCTGCTGGGTATAACCAACCTAGCATGTTCCATCCCCTGGCCACAGCTGTCTGCCAGAGAGAAGTTATGTAGTCAAGGGAGACTCTGGAAGCCACCTTGAGCTCACGAAGGACGTTGGCTTCAGGGGAAAGATAATATCATGTATCGCAAAGAGGTGAAGGAAAGAAACTAGGTCCTTGGTGACCTTTTTGAGCCACCGGGTCAGACCAATCCTGAGATGCACTTTATTTCTGAACTTAACCACCTTCTGCCAACAGGGTGTTCCTGTTTGTTGAACCCATTTGAGACCACTTTTGTGGTGGTTACTTCCAACTCGAAGTCCTAAGTGATGTAGGCTCTTGCTCCCCGAAGAAACTGACACCGGAGATGGGTCTTGAAGAGTGTATTCTGGAACGATCTGGAGCACTTTTGTCTGGAGCTCTCTGATTTAAGCTGCCATGCAGCACACGTGTGCTGAGTGGTGACTGTGGGCCAGGCCCTCAGCAGCACGCCGGGGTGCTCGAATGAAATGTGGTCCCCCCGGAGAGACTCATCCCTTAGAGGAGCTCCGGATGAGCTCATCTGGCGTCCTGCGGCACAGAGATGCACGAAGGGCTCTGTGCCCCCAGACGGGAGGGGGTGGCCCCCTTGCGGCGTCGGTGAGGCTGCATGGGACAAGCGTTGTGGTTTCCTTTGAGAGCTGCCTCTCTCTAGCCGCCAGCTCTCACTCCCGCCATTCAGGGGGTGGGGGTGGGGCAGGCTGGGCCAGCCAGAGCGCCCCTTTCCTCTGCCCACACTGATTTACTCAAAGACTGGCTTCTGACCCCAAGGTAGACGAATGAATGAAAGCGTCACCTGGGCTTGTGCCCAGTCTCGAGTTGCTGAGACCATAGGATGCTCGTGGAGGCTGGAGATCATCTCAGGCTCTCCTGCCAACTGGAAGAACTCTGGTCTTCGTGTGCTGACTTTAAAAGTCCCGCCTGGCTTGTACTATGTCCACGTTCAGGAGTTCTCAAGCCACTGCGTCTCAGAGTGCACGGGGACCTCAAGGAAATCCCTCCAGGTCCAACCACTCATGTTCCCGGTAAGAAAATAGGGCCCAGGGGGTCGCTTGCTTGCTCAAGCCCCCCATGGACGCGACAGCAGAGCTGGGATGGAAGGCCGGTGCCCCGCCAGCCCCTGCTGTCTATCCCGGCCGGCTTCTCGGCCGTAGCAGCTACCGGAACGCGTTCTGGAGACGGAGCAGAGGCCTCACCGCCCAGCTGCCCAGGCTGCTCCCTGCCCCACCGTCTCACTCCTGGGCTGGGCCCGGGGAAGAAGCTCTGGGCTTTCTCGTGTCAGCACTCTTCGAGAAACACCAGCTCTGAGCTCCAGCGGTCTTGCGTAGACGCCCAGCGGAAGCTCCACAAGCCCACGCGCAGACTCGTGCTCGCGAGAAGCGGAGGCGCAAGTGCTGCTGGGCAGTTGCCTTTTACTTCCGGGAAGGATTTCGATGGGCGTGGCTTCCGTGCCCAGGACCGGCTACGTGAATTGTGGTGCTCAGTGCGAAATGAAAATACCAGATCCCTTTTTCAAAACTCATTTAGAATTTCAAGATGGCAGCCGCAGAGCAATTAAACCCAGCGTGGACGCGGTGGCCCTGCGCGTGCGCAGCCGTGGAGCCGGCCCTGTCCGTGCCATCTCGGGGTTGGAAAGACCTCAGTCGCTAGGCTGTAGGTGAGCTGGCCCAGGGCAGTGCCTGGCAGCGGCCCCTGGAGCCAGCCTGGGCGGGACCCTGGGACCTCCTCACCTAACCTTTCTGGACTTTGGTTCCGTCAGCTGTAAAGTGGGAATAATAATAGGTCCGTTGTGGAAACGAAGTCAGTTAATGTGTAAATCGCTTGGAACCAGGCGCAGAGGGGGTTGCTATTATTATTTACACGCACATGCACACTCTTCTCGGGTGAAAATTTGTCCCCATCTTCCTAGCTCACATCGAGGCCTTCCCAACTGACCCGTCCTGGCTGTGGCTACTCAGCTGTGCAAGGAGAACCGCCATGTGGAGGAGGCAGCATGGTTTCGCGGGACCCCACCCCGCCCGGAGTCCTCCGCCTTGCCTTCCCCGCGAGCAGGCGGGCCAGGGTGAGCCGGGGCTGAGAGAGCCAAACCCACTCCTCTCAGGAGCACGTAGTTGTGGCTGCTGGGAACTCGGCCTCATAAACCTGCCGGTCGGACCACTTACTACTTCTCCCTGGAGTGCTGAGGTGGGGAAGGCGCTGGGTGTCGGAGAGAGAGGGTCAGAGGGCAAGGATGCGGGTTGTCTGCCCCCCCCACCCCCAGCTGAGGGTGGAGTGGGTGAAGGAAGTAGGGGGGGAGGAGTGTCCCGGGGAAGTGCCGCATAAACCTGTGGGTGGCAGATGTAGGCCCACCAGGTGGCATCCATAGCCTCCTCCGGTCAACCCGGGGAGGTGGAGCCCTCAGCCCACTTGGGACACCCAAGCCCCAGATTCATAGCCCTGCTTTGCTATTGCTGACCCCAAGGTGGTCTCTCAGCCATCCCTTTGGGGACCTGCCCTCCTGGTATATGGGATTAATGCTCCTTAATTCAACAGAGGTTTTCTGAGAGGCAAAAATATGAAAGAGAGGGAGAGCAAGAGTGTGTGTGTGTGTGTGTGTGTGTGTGTGTGAGAGAGAGAGAGAGAGAGAAGCAGAGACCGAGACAGAGGTAGAATCAGCAACAGAGGCAGAGTGCCAGAGACGGAGAGAAACAGGGAGCGCTGGGGAAGTAGAGAGAGAGGACACAGAGATACGAGGAGCTAGCACACAGCTTGTGTATACTTTCGTCCCTCACAGCACGCTTGCTTCAGGAGAGGGGAGCCCTGGACCTCACACCCTGAAGTGGCCGTGCCCGGCTGCCAGACCCAGGCCAGGTCACCCCGCGGCCAGCAAGCCTTGTTTCCAGGCCAGCTGTCGCCCCTGTAGTGAGGCCGTGAGTGGGTCTCCCTGCGTCCGGACTGTCAGGTGGACCCCTCCACGCAGTTTGTCCTCTGAGCCTCCCTCAGTGCCTGGGAGCTGCAGGGGCCTGCGTGGCCAGGGTGAGCCATTTCTTAAGAACTCGAATGTCCCCCTGAGTGTGATTCCCAGCATGGCCCCGGGCTGACCCTGGCTTCTGGGCCCCCCTCTTCAGGCACCTTGAAGAAGAATAGCAAACACGCCTGGATTCCGGGAGGCACGAGGCCAACGTATGACCTTGGAATGTTTGCTTTTTTTAACAAAAAATACACAATTTTAATTTTCATCACGAAAACAATTGTGTTCTTAAAACTTCCAGGCGGCCCCTGACTTGGCCATTCCTCATTTAGGCTGCCTCTCAAGAGGGAAGACTGCAAAATACAATTCCTGAGGAAACAATGGACTGAGGATATATTTAACGCAGGGGAGGCTCAGGGGCCCGTGTGCACACCGCCTCGTGGGGGCCCCGCTCCCTCCCATCCTAGTGTGAACCTTCCTGCCCTTTTCTGTTCCCTCGGCCTCCCAGCCGCCCCCGCCTCCCTGTCTCCAGTTGTCTGCACGCCAAAGCCGTTACTGATGGACAGTTGGACAAGCCTTTCCCAGGATGGGAATAAACCCTTTCCTCCTCACCCTCCCCAGATCCTTCCAGCATCTCCTTGCCCCTTGACTGAGGTCACTGCTGAGTCAGAGATATCACTGAGTGGGACCGGCGTCGCTGCGGGTGGAGTTGTCCTAAAGAAAATCATCGTGTTCTCTATCTGCCGCCTTCAAGGCTCAGAAACACTCTGTCCATGATGCTCCCGGCTCACACAGGGACCTTCGCTGCCCTAGTCTTGCTGAAGCCTCATAACAATTGTTTGAGGCAGGTCCATTTCACAGATGAAAACATTGAGGCTTAGAGAAGTTAAGTGGGCTAATCGTAGCATTCCCCTGATAGAGTCTATTTTCTGTTCAGCTTGGACAAGTCAACTGCCCTGAGGTTTCCTTTCTGAGTGTGCATCTCAGGCTCTTCCAGTTACGAGGTCTGATGGGTGTGAGGTCCAGGAGCTGGGAAGTGGACCTTTGCAAATGTGGGCCATCTTCATAGGGGGCGGTACCTGTAGGAGGGATGTGGAGCCATGCGTTCAGACAAGGGCCGAGGCAGTGAGGGGACACTAGAGGGGACCCATCCAGCACCCCG